GTATGTAAATAAAAATGACATGATTTGCTAAAAAAAGTAATGATTGAGCATGATGTAAACGAGTTATAAATGAGCTGTTATATATTTCTATGGTAACCACACAGTGATGTGCGTCATGAAAGATCTTTAATTTGTATTTCTTTTTTCGGTTGAATTTTAGTTGCAGTCAATAGAAGGAAGCCCTGGTCTCACTAACTTTGTTTTTCATGAATGCAGACAATAAAATCGAGTGGCTGAACCTCTGGTGTACTTCTGATCTTTGGAGGATCCGTTACACATGACGTCATTTTGGAGACAGCGGATTGGTGGAGCATAAGGAAGATTCATTGAAGGGAATCAAACGTGAGCAAAAAAGCCTTCTACTAGCAAGGTTGTAGTTGGCCCATAAAAAAAGTCATAATAATCTTGTTCAGTGTTGGGATTAAAGGACTGCTTGGACTTCGGGACTCTGCGCGTCATGGTGGGTGTTTACTGCCCCCCAGTGGTCACAGTCTAGATGACACACACAGCCAATCATTTCAGAGAAAAGATGACAGCTGATGTTGTTGCTAATTCAAAGTTTAAACCCAGATCCCCTCTCCTGTTTTAATTAGTGGAATGTTTTTAAATGTGAAGATTTATTTACATGAGACTCGATGATGATGATGATGATGATGATGATGAGCTAAATGAGTGCACTGCTTTAACACCATATTCCAGATTAAATAACTGTTTATTTTTTAGTTTATCTTTAATTGTAAAACTCTTACTGTCTTATTTATTTTATTTAAAAAAAAAAATTTTAACGCACACACTGAAAAAAACACACACACTCTTACTGTTTTATTTATTTTATTTTGAATATTTTTTTAACACACACACAAACAAACACACACACGTTCACTGTTTTATTTTGGATTTTTAACACACACGCACTGTTTTATTTATTTATTTTCTCTTTATGATTCAGTGCTTAGTGTAATTTTTCACTCTAAAATAGCAGGTTATGCAGAACATTATTACCAATATTTCAGAATCAATAGAAGCTCATATATATTCACTGTCCTTATCTTTTTTCAAGAACCAAATATTTATTCGTCAACAATAAAAAAACACATTAAATTAAACTATTTTTAACCCCTAGTATTAATAATCCTCTGTGAAATCAATGAAAAGTTTGGGACACACCTCCTTTCCACATATCAACACAAAACAGTCTGTTACAATCGTGTTAGCTTAGCATAATGAATTGAAGTGAATGGAAACATTAGCCCACTCTGTCCCACACTAACAAACTACAGAAACCCCAAGCTGTCCCGTTTCCAGGTATGTCTGAAATAAACATCATCATATGAGGACTATTTCATAGGAGTCATTTTAGGGGAAATCACAGCTTTTGTAAGGAATATAATGTGATATATAGCCTCTGTTTTAGTTTTGTGACAGTCATTGTAAACTAATCTAACTACACCATATCCATTATTTCTTCACTCTGCATGAACTTTGTATCATCCTGTTTAGTAGTGATGGCGAGATGAAGCTTCTTTGAAGCGTTCCATCCAATTGGTTCACTCGTGTGTGGAAGCTTCATGATGCTTCATTTGCTCTACATAAACTTTTTTATGTTGTGTCTTTATGATACAATGACATGGTCAAAATCAGAAGTGGAAACAAAGCAGAGCGTTTTCATGTGAATGTGCTTGTGTTACTTGTTTTTTGACTGCTGCAAAAATCCGCGTTTTATTCGTTTTTATTCAAAAATAGTAACTTCTCCACAGTACTCGGCTTCAGGCGGTTTCTTTTCTTCTTTAAACAATTATTACACAACAATCAGAATTTACGTACGTAAATCAAAATCTTTTTTTCCTTTGCCTCTGGGTTTGCTATTTTATTTATATTGCCAAGAATGTTTGATATAGGCTAACGCTCAGGGGTTTGTCTAGCTATGCTATATGTTAGCTATCAGTGATGCTTAGATTTGAATAGGGTAGTCAATATTCTACTATATTCTAACTCTACTACTCTACAATGTTGTTGTTGTTGTTAAATGTTGTTTAACTATAATATACAGCCAGTGTTGGGTAAGTTACTTTAAAAATGTAATCCGTTACAGTTACAAGTAACCTTTTTTAAAATGTAATTGTAGTGTAACTTTCTCGATTACTTTTAAAAAGTAATGTAACTAATTACTTTTGATTACTTTTTGATTACTTTAAGGTTTTAATGAGTATTAACCCACGATTAATTTTAGAATGTTATTATTAGCTATTGGCCGCAGCTAGCAGTTCAAGGCTAACGTCACGTTAATGATCATAAACAACGTAAATAAATACATGAATAAATCGGAGACAAGTCAGTCGTATCCGGATACAACATTTTAGTATCTATACTATTGACAACCCTAGTCTGAAATGTAGGACATGTCCGGTAAAAAGAAGAGTTGGGTAGGCTAGGTAGGCTAGGCTAGGTCATAGACATCAATAAACGTTTGTCATGCATCAACACCAAACAGTCAAATATTAGTAAATCAATACGCTTCCTCTATCAGTGAGTTGCATATTTTGCAAAGGTTTTTCTTTATATTTTTTAAAAAATGTAACTAAATTTGTAATTCTTAATATTTTCGGAAGTAACTGTAACTCAATTCCATATTTTCTCATTGTAACTGTAACGAGTTACAGTTACTCTTTTTTTGTAATTAAATTACGTAACGTCGTTACATGTAATCCGTTACTCCCCAACACTGTATACAGCTCACATTACCGCAGTGTTAGCATCGGAGGAGCAGCACTTGTTAGCGAGAGGTCAACATCGACTAGTGGAGCAAGCAGTAAAGTAGCATTCAATGAAGTTACTCGAATAATTATATGTTGTCCCGCGGTTAAGGATTTATTTCAACCAAGTCAGCATCACCTAGAGGTAGGCTATAGTTTTGGTGAATTTTATTTTGTTTGTGTCAACTCTTAATGAAGTGTGTTTTACAATGAGTTAATGGAATTAAGCTAGCTCAGTTTAAAAAAAGACACTTGAATCCTCTTGGCTTGTGGGGTTGATTTTCCATTTAAAATGTGTTTTGAAAATCTTGCCTTTCTAGACTCTAGACGTTTTGTTTATTTCTCTGTCAATGTGTGCTTCACATATTCAACATTCAGTATCAAGATGAGGCCGCCGGTATTTTGGAATTCATTCAGAAGTAAAAACTCCTTTATTCCTTGTCATCATTAAAAGGGTATTGGACTAAGACCTTATTATAATTCCATTTCATGTCACTTTACACCACTCTGATCTATTTGGACGATTTTAGGCACTTCATGGGTATAAATCCAGAGAGAGGGACAAAGGCCAAAAGTAAACTTCTTGGTTGTCTCCAAGAAGAAAGGTGTGATCGTCCAGAAGAAGTCTACTACTACCTCACAGGACTACTTTAAGTAAAGTACAGTTTCTTCCCTAAATGTTCTCTTTTATCCACGTTACTGTAACGATGTATACATCCACATGTTCTAACTGTACTGTAATAGTTTTGAAAAATGTTCTTACGTTTATTTTCCAAATGTTGTCAATTCTGCATACAGTATTCTGCATTTTCACAGACATCTGAAAATACATTGCAAAATACACAAAATACATCTTTAAAGTGGAGTTTAGAGGAAACTTGAATCTATCTCACAGGACTATTTTAAGAGGAAAAACACATGCTGGTTTGCTGAATGTTTTTACTCATAATCAAAAAGGTCCTAATGTGCCTACTTTGAAGTAGTCTTAATGTTTAAACTCTTATTTCCTCTGTGTTTGTTGTGTTTCTTAGACCTATTTTGGTATCGAACAAGTGTGTTAAAGACAATGTTAAATAATTATGAGTTTTTTTATCCATTTTTTAAAAGTAGCAGTATTCAGTATTATATTGCCTTTTGAAATAAATCATTTTGATTCTCTTTGATTTTATTTCTTTATTTTGCACAATATTCATAATAATGCTTGAGCAACTGTCTGTAGAATAATGAAGTTCTTATATTGATTGTATGTATTCAAGGTTGATATTTTAGGAAACTGAATTATTGTAATGTGTATCTACTGTGCCTTTTCTACAGTAAACTTAAACAGTATATTATTGTAATTTCCTAATAATACAAATATGACGCATTTATTTTTGACTGCATTAGACTGTGAAATCATTGAGACTACTACTGTAAGGTCAATTTACGATATGAAAACCATAAAATTATTGCTGGTGTCCTAGCTGCCAGCTTTTTACCGTAACTCATAGAAATACAGAAATATACCGTATTTCTTTTTAACGGTCTACTACTGTAAAATCAATTTACGGATGAATACCGTAAAAATAACGGTATACTGCTGGCAGCTCTGCAGCCAGCTATTTACTGTTATTTTACAGGAGAATTACTTACAAAGTAGCCACCTTTTGCTTTGATTACTGCTTCGGACACTCTTGGCTTCTCTTAATGAGCTTCAAGAAGTAATCCAAACTTTTGGTCTGTACTGTACTATGTATTATGTCAACAAGCTCCCACACACCTGATACCTGTTGATTAAAATGAAAATGAGCAGCAATAGTTAACAATAGTTAAAAGAAATGAACTACAGGAAATACGGTGCATTCCGGTGTCTGAACTGCCTTCAGTGGAGGTCCGACTCCCTGGCACTGGTCACATTCAGACACCTTGAAAATGTTGCTGTTTTTCAGTTTTTGGGGACTTTAGACCTTAAGCATATTGCTAAGAAATTTGGCAAAATACCCATTTCTGTATGTCTGAAGTTATACCAGGCCAAAAGCCATGGTTCTGCTCCAGGTTTCTGCCTGTTAAAAG